GTGGGATTGTAATGGCTCTAACGGTTTCGACTTTGTGTGTCGGTTTCAACTGTATACGTGTAAGGCTGAAAATTGTGTAATTTTGGGGAACGGCAAGGCATATGTGTATGCTGGATAAACGATCATCGAGGTAAGGATTGATCCACCAGATCGGTTGACAGTGCGTTAACATTTGTCCGGTCGAAACGCACCGGTGATTCGTACGCGTCGTGTGCGGATGTGCATGTACGTTATGACTGTTGACTCTTCAGTAATCCGTCATCTTGACAGCTTGACATATATTGTCATATATCGCGTCATTTTATACCCAGACTTCATTTCAGATATTTTCAAAGCACATAACTAGAAATTACTAGTGAACTTTGGCTTGTAGCAAGTTTTAAGACTTTATCAAAACTTGATGACACACATACATACACACACGCACATAGTCGAATGATTGCTTTTCTCGGCAATTTCCACGCACTTCACAATCGATAAGATAACTTGTTCTTCAGTAATTCTCGAAAGATATATTTTCCTACTGAATACGGGATACTTTGCAAAACTTGTCGAGGAGAAATGTCGTCTTTAACCTTTAACCTTTAATCGTCTGACTAGATTCAAGGTCGATTTAAGTGATCCCCATCGTACATTCGCATATTGCAACGCGCGTCTAAGAGTAATCACGCGAATTGACAGTGAGAATGATTATTCGTCGATCGAAAGACGCTAGAAAATTGATGATTAAGAAATAACGGAAAGTAATTACAATGATATTACGCACTTCGAATTGCGTAAAGCGACGCACGGAAGGGAAACAGATGTAACAAGCGCCGAAGTAAGCCAAGATGCTAATACCGATTATAAACCGTCTAATTAAACTCAACATACATATCATATTTCACTCTACTTTCTTCACTGACAGCATTTTCTATCGCCGGCCTGTTTAATATTGCAAATAAATTGCCTCTCCCGCCAATTACGAACCCCATAAAATTCTACACGCTGCACCGCTTGTAAAAAAATGTAAAAAAAAGAACAGCTACTTTGGCCAACATATTCGTTGATGCTCGGCGTTCGATTTCGATAAATTTCAAATTTCCTCCACTCTAGTTTCTCCAGGTTAATTTCTCTACCCCACCATCCTCAATCTTTTTCTCTATCTTTCTCTCTCTCTCTCTGCTTTTGTCTGTCCATCTGTACGGAGAATCTACGTGCGAGCCGAACTCGGGCCACGCACACCTGCACACAAGCACACCGATCTTTATTCCACACTCCGGATGGGAAAGAATACGAGAGATAATGCGCGCCGATGAAATCTAATTCCTCTCACTGCTCGCCTCGTGCACTCCATTTAACATTGTTGTTATCGCACTACTATGTACATATTAGCCGACGTGCGCGCCGGAAGGGGCGACGTGCGTGCGGAGAGCATACGGAAGTGCCGGGCGCGCGGTCGGAATAATTTTACGCGCATAATGCATTTTACCATAGACGCATTCACGCTCTGTATGTCGTAACACCACAATTTGCTCCGCTATTACTACTAATTGCCGGTACGCCTATAAATATGACGAAACCCGTATAGTGCCAGTCCTTGTCGAACATGCTTCGGCAACTCATCGTGCCTCTCGTATTGGGAGGCCTGATCGCCATTTGTTGTTGCGAGCCCGTCAACAGAAAACATCTGCCGAGAGCTTCGCCGTCGACGGGGACGATCGAGTGCGCGAACGATGACGCGTCCGGGTGTGCCGAGAGCGACGAAACGGCGGATGTATCGCCGGAGGATAGCGAAGAGCAAACGCGCATCGCCAGAGAAGTCAGGCAAAGATCCGTGGACGATGACGATGAAGACGGGCCGGCTGAAGGTAAGGCTTTCGTCGATTTCTTCAAACATTTTTGCGCATTCTTTCGGTTATCGCATGTCATTCGGCCGGCGATTTAATCGAGGATATCGCATACCTCTTGAGAAAAAGTACTGATTGGCTGCATCAGTAAATGATGAATGTTCCAATTAACTGATGACTGGATCAGTTCGCATTAGTAATTGATAGAACATTTAGCAGTTGCCGATGCACCCATAATCGGTTCTTTTTCTTAAAGTTTAATATGTTATTTGGGGAATGATTATTGTACTGAGATAATATATTATTTGGAGAGCGGACTGAAAACATAAGATAAAAGAAATTAGAGTGTCGTTAGGAAGTTTCAAAATAAGATAAAAGAATTATCTAAAAAGTTATACGTAAAAATAATTATCTAATATAAAATAATCATTTAAAATAGAAAGATATAATAAAATGAACACTCCTAAAATAGGAAGAATATTTTTTATTAAGAATTTACTTGAATTAAGAAGGAATATCAAGATGGAAAATATCAAAATTAAAAATAGGAACGAACAAGATGCCTATGTAGTTTTGTAACGAATGAACGTTGTGCAGAGATTGAAATTTTGCAAAACGAAAATTATACAGTTAAGATACAAATATATAATATTGTAAATCTTCGATCTCTGCACAATGTTCATTTATTGCAAAACTATATATCTTGTTCGTTTTTCTTTTTAATTCTGATAAGTTCCATTTTGAGATTTTTCTATGTTAGAGATGATTACTTTTATATCTCTTTCTAGTTTAGATAATTATTTTGTACAGATTTAGTTATTAAGTAACCAAATCATTTAGTTTAAACTATTTCATCAAATGCTTGATAATTGTTACCAAAACCTTTCTTCAGTATATATACAACTTTTAAATAACTTTTTTCCTATCTTTCTCTTATTTATCTAGATAATTCTTTTCTATCTTTTTTCTATTTTAGATAAGTTCTCTATTTCGACGAGTTCGTACAAACATCGTCTGATCGATTAATAAAATTTGGGAGGGAGGGGNGATTTAATATAAATTTTAAATTATAAATAGCAATATAATATAAATAAACGACTAACGGTCACTTCTGTTGGTTTTCAGTTACTGGGCGAAGAAAAAAACGCGGTGGTAACAAAATATTATTATATATGCTTGGAGCTATGAAAGCAATGTTAGTTTACGGACTGTTACACGGAGTTGCAGCTCTTGCGGGAAAAGCGGTACTAATTGCTAAAATAGCCTTGGCTATTGCAATTGCTTCAATTTTGAAAAAGCATGGTACGTAAACATATGGTACGTAAATACACGGTAATTTAGAAAAATTGTAATCTAATTTTAATTTATATGTTGGAGATCTTTCACGTTTCCTTGGATGTTTCACGATTCTAAATAGCATGTAAACTTATAACTAAAATAGCATGTAAACTAAACGAATTTACGAATTAGAATTTATTTTCAATTTTTTCCAATTTCACGAAAAAATTTATGCGTACTTAAAAAATTTTCAATAACAATTTACTTTGTAATTGTTCTAAGAATCTGAATTTAAATTGTTACATTAACATTTTTCTTTTTTAAAGATTCTAAAGAATTAGCACCTAAGACGATACGAACGATTACGATTCCCTTTATTACGATTCCCCTTATAAATAAAAAAAGAGGCCATCGATTTTAATGGAATATTATACTTCATTCTAACGAGCTCTTTGTTTTAGATAACGAGAAAACGTCTTACGAGATAGTGAAACATCCACATCATAGTTACATACAAACGCATAGTTCAAGCGTTGATTACGATCATCGTAATGATTACGGGGAAGAGAACGGCTACGATAAAATCGATCATCGAAAGCGACGACGAATTCTACGATAGAAATAGATCTTAAGTAATTAATAATTCACGAGCAACGTGAATAAAATAAATCAGCAGCTATTTATAAGTACGAAAGCTTAATGTGTGTTGCACCAAAAAAGAAAGTAAAAACTTACGCTAGAAAAATATAGAAATAACCATTTTAACTATATATATTCAAATATGTACTCAACAACGTAAATCTGATTTAGGAAAATATCTTATAGTAGAAGCTTTCATCTGTAATACCTTAACCGTGTGTTATACCTTAAAGTTATATAATATAACTATACAATTATGCAAAAATTTTACGAATAAGTGAATTATATGTGGATTATATGTGGATTATAATGTGTATCTGCAATAATTTATAAGAACTTGAATACAGGAGCATTATAATAATAGAGTAATATATAATCGTCCACAAATGATACTTAATAAATTTAACTTTATTCTTTCGATACGCTTTGAATTCTTTACATAATGTACACATTTAGTTTTTTTCATAACATTCATTTTATAACATTCATATAAATTAATAAATATTAATATAATA